CTTTTGAAGTCTGAGCCATCACACATAAAGATAGTACCTTGCTATCTTTATCATTTCAAATCTGGTAGTACACAAAGCTATGAATAGTAATAATAATTCAAAGGTGAAGTGTGTAGATACAATTAATGGTTAATTTATTCTAAATTGCATCGACCACATTGTTGGTAAAACATTTGTCAATATGGCAGTCATTTGCGAAATAATCTTTCAAATAAATTGCATTCGGTTTGTGTTCCTAATCAGGTCAACTGGGACTATATCAAATACATGCTATATCATTAGGAGAGAGATTAGTCACAATTAGGTACCTAATCCGTGTTATCTGTATATGTCGCCACTATTGCTATTCTTTTAAATGATAAAGGATGACAAAATGTATATAGGAAAGTTTCTTTAGCTTTCTCTGGGGACAAATTATTACATTTGCCCATGCTCAGAACGTCAAAGGATTTTTGCATTATCCATTTGTTTAAGAGAGGGTTGTTTGCGATCCAAATATAAACTTAACTTCAGCAGTTGCATTCTCTATTAATTGACTCATACTTGAGTCCCTTTATGTGATAAACATGCACAGCTAATAATCAATGATATGGTGACTGTGTGTACAGAACAAATAAGAAAAGAAACAAATATTCTGTGTCTGTACTCACATATGCCAAGCAGAATACAAAGAAGAGCAAATATGTGTGCTTTAAAGATGGAGTCCTTAAAGGTCATTTGTATTAATTTTTGATACACTATTATGCAAAAAAAATCACCTTTCCTCTTATTCCTAAAATGCCATTGCCACTCTGCTGATTTAATTCAGTATATATACTTATTACAAACATTTGTCCCAAGCCTAGAATTCACGATCTCAGAGCTCGAGATTTATGGAAAATGAAAATCATCTCTTTTTTATTTTTTTTAACTGAGGTGTGGGGAGTTCTTTTTGCATAAACTCTCTTTCATTCTTTCCTTTTTCATCATCAGTACCACCCAGGTGAGCTGGGAAGCTACGAGGTAAGAGATTCTCCTTCTTGCTGCTCAGCCTGCACTGAAATGGCTCCAGATCAATTTGGCACTTATGGCACTCAGTATCCTCTCCTTTCCAAAACAGAGCGCTCAGGCTCCTCTCAACAGTGAGAAAAATCTCCTTATCCCATGAGCAAACCGAAAAAAATCCTGGGTCTTTCCCTGAATGAAGAAGTACTGTGCAAAGGAACCAGGGACCCAGCAGGTCAGAAATTTGCAGCACATCTTCCAAAGCTTATGACCCCTTTTGCGATTTTCCTATTTCCTATTTTCAAATGAATTTTTTGAGGGAGTCATCCCATCTTTCAAGTTCTAGCTTGCAATCCCAAATGTGTGGGATTGCAATTATGTTATTTAAAATCAAAAACCCACTAGTTTGTACCTCTTTCACTTTCTCCTTGGCTTCCACACACAGGAGTCAGTATGCAAAGGTTTGTATTTCTGTTCTGTAAGCATGTTCTTCCCCTTTGGGTTTGTAACAGGACCTGGCAGCAGGCAAATTCGTGCCTGTGCCTCTACGAGGAGCTGCACCAGGGGCTCTGCCACACACCCACTGCCCCGTGGGTGAAGCATGGAAGGAACCCATGGTGCACACATGTACTGCTCACTTCAGCCTGTCTTGGTTTACTGTAATAATCCAGTGCCATCCTTAAGGAACTACAGTATTTATAGGATTTATACCAGCATGAAGTATATTAAACACTTGCAGATTTTGAGTGCTACAGGACCTTTGTCCAGCCCTCCTGGAGTAGAGCCTACCTCACACCAGAGGAAAACCTCAAGTTCCCATAACCTCTCATTTTCCTCTATGTTTTTCCCACCTATCTTTCTCATTTGAGTGATAACATCTTGACTCTGAATAGTTCACTAAGAAAATTAAGCCTGCTCTAGGTAGTTCAGCATCCCCCTGGCCAACTCTGCCACCATGAGCCTTTCCCTAAAAGCTCCCTCTACCTCCAGTTACCCATTTCAGAGGATGACTGCATTTCACTTTTTTAAAAGCCTGACTGCATCTCACTTTTTTAAAAGCCAGCCCTTTCTCTGCTTACAGCCCCCTGGCACATGGCAAGGCCTGTTCTCCCTATATGTTTTTCTGAATGGTAGGCTAGGCAGAGAAGTAGGATAACGATGATAATTATAATTATGATGATGACGATTATAATAATAATAACAATAATAATAATAATAATAATAATAATGCTCAAGTGGAAGTTATGCCTATCCCCTGGAACAAGGGCAGCAATTGCAGCAGCATCAGCCCTGCTGCAGAAGCAAGCAGAATGCGATCTCTTCTACAGCGCCCTAATGAAGAGCTAGACAGTGTTGGTGTCTGGATTACAGCCGTCGGCAGCACATGGCAGTTGCCTCAGCCAATGCTGGACCTCCCAGCTTTCAGTATTCCCACTTTAGCCAGTCTGGCTCCCTCTCTGCCCTCCCGCCGTCCGCCGCACTCGAGGCAATTAAGAAAAGGGCGCAAGGGGAGACTTGGCGACTTACACCGAGTAACAAAGTTGCCCACTTCATTCTCTAAGGGAAATCTTAAAAAAACAACTGTGGTCCTACTACATGTCAGTCTGGCTGAAAACAGGTTCTGAAAATCCATATACATACACGAAAATATAAAGACACTGCCTCCAACGATAAGTCAGCTGAGGCGGAGGAATCTCCCTCTTTGGGTACCGCTTCTGAGGGGGAAGCCGGCTTCCCTGCAGTGCCGTTTTGGGAGGGCGGGAGAGAGTGCTCAGGCGCCCCGCCTCCAGGCGGCGGGGAAATCCCGCCGGGGCGCGGAGCCGCGGACACGCAGGGGCTGTCCGGCGGCTGCCCCCGCGGGTCGAGGGGCCCCGGAGCAGCGGGCTGTGGAGGTGCAAACGGCCTGCGAACAGGCTGACCGCAGTGCCCCCGACCTCGGTAGCATCTGGGAGCTGACAGACGCCTGGGCTGTGTGACACCGGTGGTGGCCGCAGCACCTGTGCGCAGCCAAGGGGGTAGGACGGCACATGGTACAGCCGGTCACTGCTGCTGGAACACAGCTCTGAAGGGTTTGTCTGACCGGCCCCCATGGGGGTACCAGAGCACTTGCTATGCTGTGCCAGCCTGAAATTCTGGTGCCGTGTCGGTCACCCAGCAACTAAGGGACAGATCGAGCTGTATGCCCAGCTGGCTTTCAGCAGATCCACTGGGATGTTTCATTTCCACTCCAATCATTTGAGGCAGAATTCCGTGATTGATGTTCACCCTTTTAGGACTAAAGAAAAGGGAAACGACGGATAATCTCAAATGCTCATAGAAAAGTAGCGTTTCTGGAGCAAAACCACTCCAGTGTGCTAGTTGCCTTCGAGTTCCTTGTTTCTTAGCGTTACGATACACTATTTTCCCTCTTTGCAGTTCCCCGTTCACCTAAGGCAGGTGCTTGGACTTAACTGAGAAACATGAACGGCGAAAAATACAGAGAGGGACTGGTACAGGGAAAATGGACATACAAATGGTCAGAATAGCTAGAGCAGAGGTGATAACGCCTCTGCTGATAGGCGTCCTTGCTGAGGGAATGCCAGGGTATTACGCCGCATACCTTTTAAAAGGGAATAAAAGGAATTTTTTAAAAGGAAATCGCAGTTTACTCCCGACATCAAAGTGCTAACCCAAATATCTGCTTTTTCATGCAGGCGCAGTAACCCCTGTCTGACCATCTTAGAGCTCTACGCCCGTTATGACCTTACACACCAAAGGGACTGATTATGCCCTAGCAGTGCATGCACCGTGACCCGCAGCCCCTTTACCACTCCACCAGCCGCACCTCCATACATGACTAGAGCCGTGGCCTACGCGTCGAGCCACTTTATTTTGGGAAGCATGCCTTAAACTGGGCTTCCAAATCACTCCCCACCTGGGCATGCGAAAGCCTTAACGGCAAGGTCATAATGCTGTCATCGCCGCAGTTTTAGGAGGGGGGAGGCTTGTGCCTCTCGGACGCTTCCTATACCTACATTTGTCTCCAGAATAAAAAACTAAATATATGAATAAGAAAAAAAAAGCAGCAGCGGAACAGAGGAATATACAGGCCCGCAGGATCAACGAGGTACCGCCGTCCTGACCGGTCGACCGGTCCTACGACCCTAATGAAACATCAGTGCTGCCAGCAGCAGCTACTGCCGTGTCCAAAGGAGATGCTAACAATCACCATGAAAAACACTTGAAAATAGTCCGACCGAGCTTTCCCTTCCTCACTGGACCTCTTTGTTTCAGTCTAAGCTAGAGCACAACCTAGCCATCCACAAATACAGGGAGATGCATTAAGATATGCGGTACCTCAGCATTTACTCTATTTTTTTTTTTAATTCTATTTGATTTTATTTTTTTAAAAGTTTAACTGACCCTTCTGGTCACCAACTTTCTTGTGGTTCACTGTAAGGATCACACTCCAAGAACAAAAAAGAAATCTCCAAGCTTTGATAGAGACTCTGGATGAAATTAAGAACTTCAAACCCCAGATTTTTGAAAAGAAAAACAGATGTCCTGTTTGTTGAGTATAAATAACTCGGTACGTGGAAGCCTTTTCTTTTACGCTGCATTAAATTTTATTTAATGCTGGGTGCATTTGAACAGTAAAAAAAAAAAAAAAAAAAAAAAAAAAAAAAAAAAAAAAGGAAAAAGAAGGAGGAGGCAGCAAAATATGTGGGTGACAAACCTCTAAATCTTTTCCTCTCTCGAAAGAGAAAGAAATAGGCAGACGGGAAACCCTTCATCTAGATGAAAGAGCTCAGTGTGTTTCCTAGCAGACCTGGCGAGCCTGCCCTGGTCAGCGCGGCGGCGAGGGGGCTCAGCAGCCGCCACCGGGGCGGGGGGGAGAGGCGGGCGGGAGAAGCGGCCGCGGGTCCGGCCCGCAGCTCCCGGCGCGGGGCGCACAGGCAGGTGCCCGTCGGCGGGGTTCGGCCCCGCACGGCCCCGCACGGCCCCACGCAGCTCGGAGCGGCCCCAGGCTGACTTACGTGAGGACGTAGTTGACGCTGACGATGCAGTGCGGGCGGGAGGAGCGGCTGTTGTGCACGATGGTGGCGTAGCTCTGCACCCACACCCAGCCGCCGTGCTTGGCTAGGAAGCGGTAGTACTTGGTGGTCACTTGCCCTTTCACCAGCACTGCGGGGACAAAGCGGGGAGAGCCTCAGCGCGGCTCCCTCCTATAGTTGGATCAACCCCGGGAAGGGGGCGCACGCTCCCCCCAGACCCCTGTAGGCGACGAGAGGGGTTAGGAACCCTTTAGCATCACATGGGAAACCGACAGGAACAGAACCACCCCTGGGCAAGGGTGACCCCCGGTTGGGGGGTTGATGTCAGTAGCTGAGATCGTTATCAAAGGCTACTCGGAGAGATTGGTGGGGCAGGGCGGCAGAGGCGAGAAGAGTGGCAACGGGGGACGAATCCTACGGACTCACCCCCATCCTGACATATCCTCATCGAGATTTAATTCTATAAATCTGTATTTGAGTTTTATCTCTTCTCGTTACATTCTCTGAAAGGAAACTTACCGGAAATTAATATCCTTTTTATTCATCTATCCATGTATTAATGTCATGATGATATCAAAATAGAATAAAGAACATCTCTCTGAATCAGGCCCACTACTGCAGTCAAAATTAGATACACAGATAAGATTTGTGAGATTGGGTGGAAGTGGAACAAAAGGTATTTGAATTTCACTGGCATGGTTTTTTGGAGCAAGAAAAAAGGGTTTTCCTAATCAGAATTTGAAGTGAATGGAGCTCCTAAGGTTTGGGCAGGGCAGTGCTTGTCCTACAACCAGGAGATGAGAATGGAAAAATAGCTTTTCATTGCCAATCTCCCTCCATGTCCTTCTCCCTCCAACTTGTAGTTCAGTCTGTATCTAACCTTGATTAACTAGATGCAGATAGATAGATGCTTATTCTGCCCTCCAGTGAGCTGGCTTTTCCCGTTCCGACCTAGAGGTAAATCCCAGCAACCCCAAAGTTCTTCTGCAGAGGGAGAAGAGGGGGGGGGCAGGGTCTTTAACAAGAACACCATCTCCTTACACAAGTGATGTGCGCAACGCAGGTGGAAGGTGTCACAGCCGTGGACGTGGTGGTAAAGGGTCTTCTCTATCAAGTCCTGGGGCTCATAACCTGTTAGTTCAGCTACCCTGCGAGAGACATAAGCAGCAAATATAAGTGGGTGAGAGGACAGGAGAGGAGGCCCGGGGGAGAACAAGGGAGGGGCTAGGAGAATAGATTTAGAAATAACCCCAGCTCTACCTGGAATCTAAGAATATGAGCTTCATGTCTAGGCTGGCCCGAAACATGAACATATTGCTGTGGAGCTTGATCTCCGTCACGGCGCTGGGCGGCAGAGAGTGGCCCACGGCGACCAACCCAACGTTTTGGTAGCAGCCATCGAAGGGGGACATATCCAGGCTGTACTGGCGGATTTTCAGGTACCCGCTGCAGTGAATGACCTGCCGGAGACACAGGAAAGCTTGGCGGCTGCCTAGTAGGGGGGAAGGGGGTGCTGAGACGGGCGTCCCTCCCCACGAAGAGGGCCCGGACAACCGGTGCCGATGAGGCTGCCGGGTTCCCGAGAGTCGCTGTCCCGCGTCTCCGCACTGGCAAAGCGGCACTGGCTGCGGGTTTTCTACAGTTCTATCGGGGTTGAGTTCTTCCCCGTACGAGAGTTCAGCGTTGATCTAAGGCCCATTAAAGTCAATGAGATCTTTTTTTCCACTGGCTTAAGTGGTTTTTGGCCCACCTCCTAACTGCTCTTTTATTATTCTTCTAAAAATGAAAGACGCGGAAGTGCCAATCCAGTTACAACTTTGTAATGAGGAGTGTATGCGTGTAAGAGAAAGAGGTTACATGTGTGCGTATGTCATGTGTAAGATATGTATATTATATAGATAGAGCAGGCGCGATCCGTCGCCAAAAAGTATCTTAGGTTTAGGTGTATCTCCTTAATGTATCCATGAAGATGACTGCTGTCTACTTCCACTCTTACTTCTCTATTATTAGGGTGTTTCTTCGTGGAGTTAGTTCAACAGATGTTCTTGGTCTACTGTACATATCCTTGGTTTATAGGTACAACCCGTTCCTCGGCTTTGTTTGGCTGAAAAAGCAGCGAGGAGGTAGGAGAGCAGGGCTGTCCTTACCCAGGAGCCCCGGGCAGAACCGTGTGAAGCACGCGGACAAAACCTTTGACTGGGAGAGCTGCCCCTGCAGCTGACGAGTTACCCAATAAAGAAATAAATTAACCCGGGGCTCCCGTTGTGTCACCTGACAGCTTCCACAGACGCCCCGGGAACCTCAGTGGTTGTGCGAGGTTCGGTTTAAAAACCAAAATAAATAAATCGAAAAAAAGAAACCAAAACAAAAGCAGCCCACGGCGATCTCGATTGCTTGGTTTTGTGGTTTGAGCTCTTCAACCTGAAACTCCGAGAGAAATGAACCACATGAAAGAATCCTGGGCTGGGGCAATCTCGGCGGGCAGAGGGCTCATCCCGACTCCTCTCCCCATTTTCACCGCTCTCCCGGCACAGGGGCACGGAAAGGCTGGTAAGGGGGGAACCAGGTCCTGGCCGCAGGCACGCACCTTGTAGCCCCCGCAGGTCAGGCCCGCGTTCCTCTTGGCCAGGACGCACTTCATCCTCAGGAAAAAGGACCTCTCGATCTCGTACTCTGGGAGGGGGAAAGGCAGAGATGGGGTGAGCTACAGGCTGCGCTGGCTCTGCACGGACCCCTCCTCGACTGCGCGGGCCGGGCGGGGGCGGGGTGCTGTGTACTTTACCCTGCACGAAGTGCGAGTGGTAGGGTTGGTGGGCCGTCAGCACCGCCGTCATCTCATCGTGGTCGGCGGGGTGGATGTACTCGTAAATGCTATTACCGGTCAGCTCTACCTGTGAGAGAGGAGGAGAATGGGGAGGAAGAGGAGGAGAGGGGCTTATCCCCTGCACCGCTCACCGTAGCCTGTCAGTCGCGGGGGGTGGTGCAGGCAACCAGGGGGCTAGTGGGCCCCCACAGCGTACCTGCGACAAGCCCAGGTGCACCGAGGCAGTCTCGGAGATGTACATGATCTTGCCATCTGGAGCCACGACAAATATGAAACCGTCCAACGTCTGCAGAAAAGGGTGAGGGATGGGAATATAAATATATCAGAAGATAGACAGATAGATCCATGAAATACTTGTCCCTCTGATGTATTTTGGCAAACAGGCATCCATGCTCGGGGTCTGATTATTCAAAAAGTTGGAGTGAAATAGGCAAGTCTTGGACAGGAATCTCTCTAAAGCTCCTGGGCCACAGAGATACAATCCACTTCTCAGAGTGGTCGAGCTCAGAAGTAATGTAAAGTGCCTGGGAAGTATCTAAGAAGAGGTCCTGGTTGCTTGGTGATTATTATGTGGGTCCCAGAAATCCTGAATACTCCTATCCTATTTCGAATGTCACTGGGGGTTTAGCACTTGCATATTTCCTAAAGATATTTTAGGCGATCAAAGGAAATCTAAAATTCTCCACAGTGTAAATAAGACAATTTGCCAGGTACATTTCAACAGACATAAATGGGACTCCTGGGTGTGCCGAGAGCAGAATAGACCCCCAAAAGGTAACATGACTCCACTAAAAATGCATGGTCATGGTAACAGCTATTACTCTTTAGTATTGCAGAGCGCTGTGAGTTTTCAGATGTGTCCTGCCTTACTCGTGTCTCTGCAAATTTCTGCGCCCGCTGAGTCCTTCTGTCCAGGACAGCCTTCCCTAACCTGTCTCTAGAGCCTCTACCTGTAACACCATCCTGACCTTCATAACGTTGACGAGACTTGTCACCTTGTTAATAATTTGGGGAAGAGTCATGCCACTGTACCTCGGCACACTGGGACACACTGTGGACCCAGTGTTAGACGATGCTGGGGGAAAGGACCTGGAGGGACCAAATCACAGACCCAGGAAAACACACAACATTCAAATTGTTCCCCTCCTGCCTCCCTTTTTATTAAACACTTGGACAGTTAAAAATTAGTCAAGGTGGCAATTAAAAGCTCAGAAGAGGGAACGATTTCTTTAATCATTAATACCATATGGCTGTCGTTTCCAGGCCAGTACCTGCAAAAGATGGGATCCCAGTTCCCGTCCAACATTATCCAGTGGGCTGGTTCGGCTGGAGTGGCCCCAGGCTTCTCCGAGTCCTTATTTAAGACAAACGAAAAAAAGTAAGGTCAGGAAACGAAAAACTGATTCGTGTGGACCTGATGGAGAGGAACATTTTTTGGTTTCAAATTTTTGCTTGTATCCTCTCTAAAACATGTATACATACAATCTTTGAAAACTAGGTGTGGCTTCATTGCAGATAGAACCCTCTTTTGTGGTTTGTTTTTCTGAGTTTGGTTGTGTTTTGGTTTGGTTTTTTTAAAGGTCTAACTCCTGTGAGAGAAAAACACAAAAATACCTGTTTTGAGTTAACGGTGAAGTTAAGTTTTAAGACGTAAGTGAAATAGCGTCCCAGTTAAAAGGGCTTTTTTGTGCTGCCTTCGGCTACTGGGAACTCGTCCCCTGAACTTCAGGAAAAGCGTCCTAACCTCACGATCCCACAGGCAAGTCACTGTCCGAAGGCACGGACCACCCTTCCTCCTGCCCCACGAAGTCCGTCTTCGGGATTCACCTCCATCCCCATCTCTCTTCCCGCTGCTCCGGTGGGCGGGATGATTCCCTCTGCAGGGAGGGGTGATCTGCCTCCATACAGCTCCCTCCAGAAATGAGTCTCTCCGGACTTGTCTAATGTTTTAGACGCGGCTTGTTTTCCCCTACGCAAAGTGATAAGAAATAAAAGCCAGGTGGAAATTACTTCACCTGAGTAAAAGTATTCATAGGCGATGCCTTTTCACTGTGTTGTTGCTGAAGTAATTTAAACGGGTTAGTTAAAACCTTTGACGCCTAAGCCATGAAATAAGGCCCAGCCTGACACGCACAAACACTAAGATAAAGTGAAAGGGAGGGAAAACATACAAATCCTGATCGATGACTGGGGTGCAGATCGCACGGGGGTGGCGAGACCCGAGCCGGAGGAGTCTGTCCCCCCGCGAGGCGGGTTCGGGAAAGGCAAGACCCCGTTTTCCAGCTATTTCGAGGCAAACAGAGGGCAACCGCGAGCATCCCTCACTGTTGACCGGCTTCACCCAGGTGTTTGCCGGTCCAAACAAAGCCAACGATTTGCTCCGCGCTGTTTGAACGGGGCATCCCAGGGCGGCCCCTGCCTGCCCTCCCCACCGCCGGAGCAGTGCGCCCGCTCGTCTTCGCCTTTCCCTCACTTTTCCCCCCCTTCCCTCGTCCACCTCTTCACAACAACTTGTCTCTTCACCGCTCCTGCATTTCCCTCCTTCCTCCTTAATTTCACAGCCCTACAAAGGCAGGAGCATCTCTCTGGCCTGTCCCTCATCCTACAGCCCCAGCGTGTACCAGGGCGCCAGCCAGAAACAAGCTCCCTTCTGTTTATTCCTCCAAGCCAATTAATGGGGAGCCAGCCACCAGGATGGAGGATCACCTCCGCCCCCTGTATTCGGGAAGGAGACGGCGAATCTTGCACAGCTTCCAGGGAAAGAGAGACAAGCCCTTGTATATTTGTTTTTCTAGAGCTCCTCAGAGGTTTCTCTGCCGGGAAAGCAGGACAGCCCGTTTGTGCAGAGGCGGCTCCTTTCCGCGAGAGAAATCTGAGTGGCAGGTTTCTTTAGTCAGGACTAAATCTGCACTCCTCTCCTAAGATTTAAGTTGCTTATTAATCTGAGTTTACAGCTCTAATTATTCTTCTTCTAAAAAGGAAAATAACCCGACCTCATTGGGTTAATGAACAGCTCACGGGCACTGCAGGTTAACCTCCCGTCCAGGAAGGCGGTTCTTTGCGGGGCACTGAGCTCCTCACTATGTTTCAAATGGAAATCTCGCGCTGCTGGGCTGTGTCTGCTCATAGTTTATAATTAAACGTTTTCACTCGTCTACCTGAACGGGCTTTTTGAAATCCTGTCACATGAGATGATCCTTTGTACTCCCCAGATGTTTCAGGACTTTCAAGTCGGGGACTATTTCTATTCGTTGTCAAGCCCAGCCTCTCCCAAATCGATGGCCTCTCCTGATGCCCCTTAAATATTGTTTTAAAGATTATAAGAGAAAACCTCGTCCATTAATATTCCTTTCCCCCTCGTCTATTCTCTTTAACATCCAGTTTTCTTTTATCGAGGGGGCAAACTGTGATTTCTTGCACTTGACCTACCGCAGAATATTCTGCAAATCCTTTGATTGTCTATTTAAAATAAAACAAGGAAATCAGCTCTCCCTTTTGCTTCAGGATTACGCTTGGAAACAAGATCTAAAGATTCTCTTGTAATTTGGAGAGCCAACAGCATAATAGCTCTGGAATAGAAACAAGCAGCTTTGTGAGCAGAAGGATAACTAAATCGTTTTTAGGCAAAGGATTTTCCCAGTTAAAGTGGCCGAAGACAAAGCAAAACATAATCTATTTTGGAAGATTTCGAAGATATGCCACATTAACCTCAGCAGATAAAATTTGCTTTCTCCCCTGCGTCCCCTCCCCCACCGCAGTCTGGTTTATCATATTTACATAAGTAGTCTTAGAATGGATGTATCTATTATGGATCTAAGGAGCTAGCGAGCTCACATTTCATTTGGAAATAGAGGGAAAGTTTTACTGTTGCTTAATACTTGATGCATTGTAGAACCATTTCCATTTAAATACCCCCGACCCACGGATTACCTCAATGGACTGGCTGCATGGGTTTTGTAATTTCCTGAAAATGAGATTTCGATTTATAAAACAAGAAACCAATTAGTAACCAAATGAGGCGAAGTAGATCCACTAAAATTGACCTAATCCCACAGGTACCATTTAGGCCAGTTCTTGGCGAATGAATGATGAGTAACCGTCTAACACAAGCTCAAGGCATCATCCAGCTGTGTTATTCAAGGAGAAAAAAAAAAATAGATGGATCGAGCTTTTATTTCAGAATGAATTTGATACTCTTGACAAAATATAGATTATAGGCTCCTGCCTAAAAATCTCTTCCACTCAAGGAATTTTTTTCCTTAGAAAATAAACTATTTGTGCCACAAGAAACTGTCCACTATCACGAGGGAAGGGGGGGGAGGGGGAGGAAGTTGGAAAAAAAAAAAAAAAGAAAGAAAGAAAATAAATAAAGGCGTTTTAGCCAGGCTATCGCTTAGTTTGAGAACAACCTCGTTACCCGGCTGCCTGCACCTAGATTGCGCGGAACCTATGCAGAGCGATCGTGCTGACTCATCATTTCTCCCAGCATTTTCCAATGGAAAACCACTGCGCTTTCCACGTCAAAAAGCGTGTCCATCGGTTTCATGGGCTCACTACACCGGTGGGTCCCTGTGAAATGCTTTCTCCCCACCTAGCCATGCCCACCCCCGGCACTGGGCAAGCCTCTCCGCACCGCCAGCCTGTCCCCCACTCCGGGCTTACGGCCAGACCCGGTGCGCTGGACTGACTTGGCCCTGTCCTTCCTTCCCCTCATCTTTTGATTGATGCAAGTCTTGATGTCGGCAGCCAATGGAACCAGGGGCTGGGTGGGCACCGTCCCTACCCAGTGGCGATACTGTCGCAAGAAGCTCCTCTGTGCCACGGAAGGGGGAAGAGATTCCTCAGTCATTTCTAATTTGATCTAGGCAAAGACGGCGGAAGGCTGGCGCAGGGAAATGAGACGCCAAGAGGCCGAGGCAGCTCCTTGGCCCTGGTTGATCTCCGGGTTACTTGTCCCTCTGTGAGCATCTGCAGAGCAGAGCCCATCTAGACCCCCTCCTTTGTCTGGCAATACCAAAGGGGGGCGGAGGTGGCCGGTGGGGGTGGGGTGGCCAGAAGATGCAAGCCCTTATCTACTTTGTGCTGGTTTGCCGGCTTTTAAAAGCAGTTACTGCGATTTCCCCAACGGAGTCTCCATCATGAAACCTCAGCACAATCCGGATTCACGGTCGCGAAAGCAACGGCAGAGTCCCCGTTTAAAAGCACTTAGTGGAGAACCCATCCTGAGCTCCACACCCGCTTCTCTGGGGGCCAGACTTGGAGAGCAGCTACATCGGGGGGCATGGAACCCCTGGGCACCCCACCGGGGGCTTACCCATGTCTGGCCGCACCACCCCGCACAGCCCGGCGAGGCCCACGGAAGCCGGGCACGGTGGGTAGATGCTGGCTTGAAGACGAAGCCCCCGTATCCAGGGAGTTTTCTCCTGTTGCTGTGGATGTGCAGAGGGAGAGGCTCAGGGGGCTCGCCCAGAGGCAAACCGCTGCTGCAGGGCAACGCTGGGCGCCGGCCCGGTGGGGCAGCCGCAGGGACTCTTCTCTAATCTGGGTCTAAGCAGGTCCACCTCGCGTTCCTCTTCCAGGAGTTTCTCCAAACTCCCTCTCTGAGCAGAGGACCCCGCCGTCGCGCTTCCGGATCTACCCGGAGACTCCCGGAGGCCGTGGCCCGGGGACGTCTCCGCTCGCTTTTGTTTCGCCGCGTTTTCTTTGCCCTTTTGACAGCCGCTCTCTGGTTATTAAAGAAGGAGGAGCACCAGTTCGCTCCTCGCCCGCGGGTGTCGGGGGGGATGTTGACCCCGCGGAGGAGCGGGATGCAGGAACCCCGGCCACCTCTGCCTTGGGGCTCGCCCCTTCCCCTCAGCCCCGACAGCCGCCCTGGCCGTGCTGGGCAGGCCGAGGAGGGGCGGCTCGGGCACGGACACCGGCTTCGTGCAACCTGCCCAGAAAAGCCGCTCCAAAGCGGGAACGGGCATGTCACCTCCTTGCGCGGCTCCTCAAGCAGCACCTTCCCTGCCTCCCGCTGCCAGTCGCCAGCACTGTTGCCGCCTTAACACCCGGGGAGTTTGCTCTGGGGAGAAGCGAGGCACGGGAATTTTTGGGGGACAATGAGGCAGGACAGTTCGGGCACCATCTCCAACATGGTCATTCTCCCTCGCTGTCCAGGGAAAATATCAAATAACAGCTCCGGGAGCCACGGGAACAGAAACTGCACGCCCTAGTCACCGGCAAGCCAAAAGGCAACTGGATGTTTTATCGAGGAATTAGCTTGATTCGATTAACCATTTAATTAAACCGTCTGCCGCCAGCGCTCCGTTCTGCCATCGCCTAAAGCCCGACAAGGCTGATTTCTCAGTTAAT